ATGTTGGGGTTGGTAGAAATAATTTCCATGTTTTGCAAAAAAAACCCCCAGTGTTCGTGAAATAGTAGTGTCATCTATCAATGGAGATAATCTTGTAATCTTGTGATCGTTATCATATTATTATTTCTAGAGTTTTTTTTTACTTTTTCAAGAGAAATGATGGGCGCTATCGTAGCCGAGTGGGGGGGGGGGGAATCCCGCGTCTCCGTATCCTTTCATCTACTAAAGGCGGTTTAGTGAAACCACGTTTTGTTGGGGAATATTCCCCATCGACTCTGGTCGCCTGCGCTATGAGTCTAAGCCTTGATTAGGGGAAATGAATAGATGCGACGACAAAGGCGCGGCTGAGTGGCCCTTAACTAGTTCCTGGTGAACAACAGAAGGAAATAAACTTTGTTTTTTTTTCGTAGCGTTTCCTCCAGCCTATCTGTTCTTCGTTTTTTTTACGTTGTGATGACTTCGAACGCTTGCTGATGTTTGCCACTACATTTTTTGGATTTTTCGTTTATTTTTCTCTATGTGGGTGGTCTGTGATAAGTACTAAGAGCGCGTTCATACTTCGCGACCGCAGGGCATGAACGCGCTCTAAGAGGTATCTGAAAACCAACGACGATTGAACTATGCAAAAAAGAAAGAAAAGCTGCTGTCGGGTATTTTTTCTGCGCACTGCGTCTATAGGACCTTGCCAGTAAACGCTCACTTTGCTCCAGAAATAGGGTAGTAGTAGTAGTAGTAGTAGTATAGTCCATGTTCGTTATAGTGGGCACTGGTATATGAAGAACTTTTTCTTAGTTCGAAGCTTATTTCGAAGACGTTACGATTGTAAACGGTCGAGAAATTTTTTTGATGAATCCTAAGGGAGAAGGTGCTCTGGGTTGGGCAGAGTGGTTCACCCTTTCCACAGATCCCTCCCTACTATAAGCTTTAACAGAGATCCCAATCCTTTTCGTTTTTCTACATACTTCTAGCATTCCGAAGAAATGGCTCCTAAGGCTGCGTTCATACTTACTTAGCGCTCAAGGAGAATCAGCGTTTGAAGCGTTGGCTTTGAGAGAATGGGCATTCTGAGCGAAAATGAGTGTCTAGGTGTCGGTCTGGCGTCGTGGGGAAGAGTCAGCGTTTTTGCGAGTCAGCGTTCTGATCGAATCGGCTTTTGAGCGAAAAGGAGGGTACAGATATAGGTCTGGCCTTAAACGGCAGTTCGACACTTGCACCTTCCTAATCGCTCGGAATGACGAGTCTCTAAGTATGGACGCAACCTAGTTCAGCTCGATGTTTCGAAGAATTCCTCGTGCCAAATGGCTACCACCGTAATTCGACGGATTATTGCCCAAAAAGGCGGCTTTGGTATACTAGTGCCAATATCGTGGTAATAAAAAAGGATAAAGTCTCCGCCGTTGAACACCTCCTTGTGGGATGCGGCACGCATTCTACTTCCATTCAGAATCGTAGTGGCTTAATGCGATGTGGCCTATACAATGACTTGCGGTGGCCAGCCGATGTACAAGTCAGTGTTTTATCCTCCCAGACGAATCTGGTACCAATTTACCGTCCCCAAGGGTAGAAGGCTTGGTTGGCCTGGGCGGGAGTCGACCCGGGATTGAGACCAGGAGCGCGCGAGTGGTAAGCGCGCAACTTGTCACTACTCCCCCTCCACCCATCGAGGTAATGTGGTTGCTTATCTCATGCACTCATAATGACATTAGTCGTTACTATTAACAGGTCGGACCTCTTTAGTATCTAAACTGCTACATAAATAGGCTTCAAACCTTTGTTGAAAGAAAAAAAACCCAAAAATCTCGAACACGTGGAAAATCTGGCATCTTGACGAATAGCACAGTGCCTAGCCCCCTCGTCAGCGACCTGCCTGTGCCTCGTTTTTAAGGTGTGGGTGGTCATGCAAAAAGTGAGTGTTTTAGCGTAATACCTGAAGCGAACGTCGCTGAAAATGAGGTGCTGAGGTGTGAAATGCCATGTCTCTGGCTTTCAGCGATCTTCTTGATTTATTTAGACTTTGCTATTATTGCAATTCTTATAACTTTACTACCTCGTTCACCAGCGTAGCAGGTTGCAGTATTTCGTGGGTTAGTTGTCGAATTACGATAGTCGCAGTTTTGCATGAGGTGTTTTTGAAAGCATTGAGGTTAGTTTCTGTTATTTCTTTTCTTATTTCTTGTTTGCTAGAATAGAGGCTGCGTTCGTATTTGCGTCAGCGTATGCCAGCGTTTCGAGCGTACGCCAGCACCAGCGACTAGGAAAGGACAGATATTGGTCCTGAGCGACAACTAAGCTTGAGCAAAGGCTGCCCGCTAAAACGCTCAAAACGCCAGCGTACGCTTAAAACGTTGGATCGATATCCTGGTTACTCAATACGCTGGCGTACGCTGCAGTACGGTAGTGGACGCTAGAAACTCTGGATCAATATTCATACTTTCCTAATCGCTTCAAACGCTGCTGTACACTGGCGTACGCTAGATCGATACCCACCTTCTAGTCACCAGCGAAAGCATTCACTCGAAACGCTCAAAACGCTGGCCTGCGCGCACGCAAAGTACGAACGCAGCTATACGATTGTTAATCAGGGGATGTGGATTTCTGTATAACCTTGAAGAATGTATGCTGGTAGGCTTGTGTATGGGTGAACCTGTTGGCTATCTCGGAATCCCTTCTAGCTTTAGGTGGCGTTAATGTATTTGGGGGAGGGGGGGGGATGCGGTGTGTCTTCTCCAATCAAAGCTTAGGCTTAGGGCTCGGACAACGAGAATCACCCAAAGATAGCCTCATAGGGAAGACATAGTCGTCAATAAGCCAAAGTCTTCTTTGTATAAGTGACACAATGGCGCTTCCGATTGTTCCCCAACCATGTGAGCTCCCCCCCCCCCCTCCCAGGCTTACCCTAAAAAACGTTTGCAGTGAAATTGAGTGTAGTGGATACTTTGGACCAACATGCTGGAGGTCACACGGAAACGTACTCAACGGGTTTTATAGAGTAGGGTAGAATCATTGTTCGTGTGCCCATGAAGTCATTACCGCTGAAAGAGTTGCGTAGGTTGTTTTCAACTATTTGAATCATTCGTTAATAATGTGTGCTTGTCTTCGTAAAATATTACATGAAATCTATGTCCTCCGGCTCGCTTTTTCAAAGAGCAAAGTAATAGGTTGGTGCATCACTCGCTGAGTGATTCTTTGTCTGTTGTAAGACTACGTCATAGTTCATCCCTCAGGGACAATGCTCCATGACGTGCGCACTCTACAATTATGTAAGGAACCGCAAGTTATTTCTCGCAGTTCAAATGGCTTCTTTTTCTGCCTTGGACACATTCCGTGACTTACTGATATGAAGAATACAGTCGTGGTCGCCACCGGTGAAGGGGCGTGTCAGTGTCAGTGAGGTGATTTGGCGCGCAGCTAGCCCATTCTCCCCCAGTGTCTGAAGCGGGTAAATTACAAAAACTTATGGAAAACGAATGATATGAACGATATGGCAGTCTTGTCGCTTGCTGGCTTCATCAGCTGGTGGAACACACTCTGCCGCCGAGCCAAAGCGATCGCGCCTAACACGCCCATCATCTGCAGAGAACAAGCATGCACTTCCTATGGAAAGTCTTCCGGTTTGGAAACCTCGGAAGATGTCCATTTTTCATGCATTCATAGTCATTTAGGTATAATTTCCTAGCAATCTCGCTCAGTCAACACTGTTGTCACTGGATGAAAGAACGCCAACGACATTTGTCATCTTGCTCGCGTCTTAGCTCGTTTTGTGAGGCTCTCAATGTTCTCTCATCCCTTGTCTCTGGACTCTCGTCCATACTGTAGTGTCTCGCTTTTTCAAATGCTCGTCCAATGCTGGAATCTTATTCAGGTGCCTTGAATTTTCGATTTTTGGATGTTTGTCCCGGTTAAATCAGTTAGGATCTGCAGTGTAGGTTATGATCTGATTCACCGGCATTTTCAGTGATTGCTCATCAATTAGTAGAATAAAGGCATTCAACGCAGTTCCAAAGGAGAAGCCTTAATCATGTTGTTACTGTATTGTCTGGGGTGTCAGCCACCCATGGTATTTCGCAAGAACAGCTCTTATTTTTTTCTCCTTGGTTTACTTTTATTTTTTGTTTGTTATGCAGTCTTGGTTCTCGGGTTTTTATTTAGTTTTGTTTTCGCGTCGCTTAGCTTCCCCATTAGCACAAATTCGGCTTCAAGGCAAATCACCTGCAAAATACTTTTTCTATTGAAAGCTCGGGCTCATGGGAATCGTGGGAATACCATTCAACGGGGGGGGGGGGAATCCTTTGGCTAGCTGAAAAAAGGTAGTGGCAAGTGATACGTCTAGATAGGCTCCCCCCAGGCCAACTAAGCCTCCTACACCCCCTTGCGGGCCAGCCAATGACAAGTCAGCTTATCATCCCGGACCAATCTGTTACCGGTTTGTCGCATGGAGGGTAGAAGGTTTGATTGTCCCAAAGTTCGAAAGAATGGACTCCCGAGCAGCACGCGATGTCTAAGCTCTACATTCTGAAGGATCTGCATTTTTCATTTAAGAAGTATATCGAGCTTCGGTGCTATTCTGGAATGTAGGGCTTTTGGTTCAATAGATCGAACGAAGGTGACGGAACTTTTGCCTAAGCCTAATGGATGTAGCTTTGCTATTTTTGAACCGATTCCTTTGTGCAAGAACGGTTTTCGCATCATCCTAATTCCACTTTAGCTTTGTGAGATTTTGAATAATTCTCCTTGTTAAGCCAGTGTTCTTTTTCTTCTTAGCTATGTATCAAGCCACGATCACCCAAATGTTATTATGTTATGGAGCCCCAGTATTTTAATTCCATGATTAAAATACTGGTTAGTTCATAATATAATGACATTAGGGCTGATAGTGAAACCGCCTACAGGTGTTACTTTTGTGTATTGAGTTGCGATTCTCTTTCTATCGTTGGACTGCTGCTCTTTTATTTTTGCAGTACAAGTTGAAAAAGGTGAATTTTTAGTTTCAGGATTGGGTAATGACGGAGTACAAGCTGGTAGTGGTGGGTGATGGAGGTGTCGGTAAATCGGCCCTCACAATCCAACTAATTCAAAATCATTTCGTCGAAGAATATGACCCCACCATTGAAGACAGTTATCGGAAGCAGGTAGGAATGCATTTCTTTTCATGTTCAACCTTCTTGATCAAAGCACGTCCTGCCTTCGAGAGAAAGTTTTGCAAAACAAGATTTTCCTTCTCCTCCAACCCCCAAATTTCCTCCTATGGTACGACATCCGTACCTTCTCTACCTGCACCCACCTACTATCTATATGATCCCGAATGCCGGCCTTTTTCCAGGTATTTCTTTTTTCAGAAATTCTCCAATTTTTTTGAAACCTTGTTGTGGAGCGGAGAAAGGCGGAGGTGTCAAAGCGCAGGTGTGAAGGGAAAAACCCGAGAGACGTCAAATACTGAAAAGTTTTTTTTTCGGGAAAACAAAATACGACCCCCAAAACTCCATCGGCCAGATATGACCCCTCCTTAAGGGTCCGCAACGTGCGACGTACCCTCTCTGTGGTTCTTTATTTCGGACCGTTTTCCTAGGGTTGATCTGCTGTCCATTTGAGCAACCGTGCAGAATGGGGATTAATCTCTCCGTACTATTCTCTACTCTTTCTAACTTGGTTTCAGCGATATTTTTATAGGTTGTGATCGACGGCGAAACATGTTTGTTGGATATTTTGGACACTGCAGGACAAGAAGAGTATTCAGCTATGCGCGATCAATACATGCGCACAGGTACCGAATCAATTTGTTACTTATTTCTTTTTGTACCTTTCTATTCAAATCTTTTGACCGCTATGCTCATTTGTCGCAAGAGCTCAGTCATGGGCCAAGGATCTAGGGGAGAACTCGTACTCGCATATTATGCTTACTGGGCAGGCAATCTTTCCATTCTAGCACGAGGCACCCTTCCTTTTATTCTCTCAACCTTATGGCCACTATTTGGCCGGATTGCCTACGGAACTACTTTCTGTACCTCTGAAGTCCGAAATTTCATTGCTTCATTTTGTAGGTTACGATTTCCCACTGTGGCTTTTTTTCATGAAGCGCCTATAAATCCTGTTGTAGCCCCAGGCCCCGATCATACACAGCAACGTTGAGAAATCAGAGAATCGGCGGGTAAGGTACGTAGAAAGATCGATTTTTAGAATCGCAGCATTGCGAGAGTCGTAGTTTTGGGAGAAGCGACGACAGGGCTGGACATTGACTGCTCAGCCAGGTCCTCCGTTCCTTTTCGTTGAATTGTGAGAATGGATTATGTCTGCATCGGACGCTTTCCACGATTCCCCGATTCCGCCGATTCTTCAATTTTTCAAGGGCTTGTCTCAGCGCGGGCTCATAAGCCACTCTATAATTTACGGGACAGTGTGTATACTATGACATACGAGAGTGACGCTAAGCAGGAGTACAGCAGAGTGGTAGCGGGGTCAATACGACCCCGCCCACCCCCACCCCATTGAATTTCATCATTTGCTTAGACCCCCCCCCCCCAATCGTACCTACCTGCCTTACTAAATTTTTTCAACTTTCCATATAATTGGCTCGCGGCTTCCTTCATGCAGGGCAAAAACGAGCTCCTTTCCAGCGACTACGTAGCCCCTTCCTCTGAAGGGATTCTCACATTACCCAGGAATCTCTTTTCTGGCCACTGCTCCTACATAAATATATGGATGGAACATGCCTCAACTTTTTACCGATGAGCCCAAAGCTCTGATCGCCATTCCTCTCCTTATTCCAAAATTTCATTAGGCTTGGTTTTCGGCGGTTCGTTGATTTTTGCTCGCTTGCTCTGCAAGCCAACAAGCTTCTCATCATCTTTCTCACGTTTGCTCTTATAGGCGAGGGATTTCTTCTCGTTTTTGCTGTCAATGAATCCAAATCCTTTGAAAACGTCGCCAATTATCGCGAGCAAATAAGACGGGTAAAGGATAGTGACGATGTAAGTTTTACTTGTTTCTGTTCAAGCTCGCCGTTAGAATTTTTGAGCTTTTGATCATAGTTCATCTATACACTTGAATGACTGTCTGAAAATCTGCGAGCCTTCACCCTGTTTTATAGTGTTTTCAAGATTTTGAAGTCGTTTTGGGCTGAATTTTATGTTGTGTGAGGTTCTTCAGCAAGAAGAAGTCATTACCTTTGGCCGCGTCAAAAGTTGATTCTGTGGACAAGACAGAAGTTTGATTTGTACTTTTCGACGGAAGGTTCCTATTTTAGGTCCCTATGGTGCTAGTGGGGAATAAATGTGATCTTGCTCAACGTGCTGTTGATGGGCGGACCGTATCCGACGCAGCTAGGGCTTACGGTGAGAGTTCAGTTTCTCTGACGTTCTTTTATCTCCCTGACTTTGTACTATTGTAACTTTCTCCTTGGACCGTTTGTTGCTAGTTTCCTACGGTGGATTTTTACCTACGGTTGCAGTTTTTTAATTCTGTTAAGCATACTGGCAGTTTTCGTGGAATCATATTTTTGTTTTGCAATAAAATGGTGGCAGTTTCATTTTTATAGTGAAAAACAGCGCTCCAAAAATAATTTGTGACCGCTCCTAATAGAATATTAGCCGTAGTTCGGTTTGTGGGGGGGGGCTTTTAACATTATCACTGCTTCTCATCGTCGTGTCGAACCACCAAGTGGAGATCCATGAAATCTTGTGAATTCATGAATTGATACCAACCGGAGTTTAAAGGAGCTGGTTGTCGACTCTTTTGAAGTATATAATTTATCTCTTGTAAAGCGAGGAACACGACGATGCCCTTCCCCATTCCCTCTAAGCCGAGCTGGGACAAATACCGTTTTACTATAAGGAGTTTATTCATGTCCCTCGAAGAAACTTTTTCTGGAGGAATGGCGTGTAAATGAAAGCAGTACGCACTCTACAAAGTTGGCTGCTATGTTGGCAACTGTGTTGAAATTGCTACCCCTATCCTTCCCACCGGCGGACCTACGCCAGCACCCTATTCCAAATATCTTCAGTGTTGTGCATTAGAGTTTTCACAACTTGATTGGTTTCCTTCTTGAGAAGCTCTTCAGTTCATTTCCGTCAAAAATATGAGCCAAAACTATTTTCACAAATACTTTTTGCTGCAGGAATACCGATGGTTGATACATCTGCGAAAACAAGAATGGGTGTCGACGATGCCTTTTACACTCTAGTACGCGAAATTAGAAGGGTTCGCTCTTTTCGTTCTTCATTTTGTTATTTCGATGGTACTCCAGTAAGATTGCTCATTTTGGTGCAGTTGTTTTAAAAGCGTTTAACCACAAAGGGATCGGTCTTACCGACCCCACAGTTCTCTCTTCGTCAGGCTGGAGCAGAAATCTCTTATAACTTACCAGGAAAGGTCAGCAGGTCAGCCCGGCCATTTGCAATGAGGTGCACATCACTGTACTCACCTTGACACGATGAACTCAGAACTATCTTCAAAATTTGCAGAACGATTCTCTGAGCGGAGTTATGGAGGTTTTTCTTTACTGTTTTTCTTCTTACGGGCGCGCTGGCGCCGAAGCGTTGGCACATGTAGCGCGACTCACAGCGCAAAATAGGTATCATATTCGTGTTCAGGGGTCAAATAACCCCTAGGGACGTCACCTTAGCGAAATCTGAGGTTCTGACTCAGCTTCGAAAAAATGGGGTTAGGTTAGTCCAACAGCGATACTACGGCTAGCCTACTGGTGACGACTGGTCTTCGAGCTGAAATGACTCTTCAGTCATGTCTTTTCGCAAAGAACAATACCTGGCTCACTCATTCGTGCCGTCTACATCATTTTCCTGATTACTAGGAGGAAATTCCATCCCGAAACTAGTCATGACAGGTGAGCTCCAATTCCATCCCGAAACTGGTCAGTGCAGGTGAGCTCCAATCTGCTGCTAATTACCCATAGAATAGCCCACATTTTCCAAGTTAGGTCGAAATATCAGATTCGGCTAGAAACTTGCCAGGGGTAATTTGACCCGCTGAACATGAATATGATGGTATTTCATTGCAAAAACCCTTGTGACATGTGTTACGAGGGGCAAGCACAAGCACTCTTTCAGGCCACAATGGGTCTACACTTTCGAAAAAAACTGATCGCAGGTTCCTTACAGGGTAGTGCAGGCGAGCAGAGATGTTAGAAGCTTTGTCGGCCATGTTCTTGGACAAATGCAAAAGGCACCTGCCGGGAACCGATTCCACGACGTCTTGCCTAGGAAACCCGCTCGCTATCCGTTGCGCTCTACTCTCACGTTTCAAAAAGAGCCCATACATTAATGTAAAGACGCTTCCACGTTTCCTCGGAATACCATGTAAAAGAACCACGAGGGGATAAATCCCTCCATAACTCCGCTCAGAGAATCGTTCCGCAAATTCTGAAGACAGATTTGAGTTCACCGTTCAAGACGCGTACAACGGTGTGCACCTCATTGGAAATGGCCAGGCTGACCTGTTGACCCTTCTG